TACCACCTTGTTTCACATTATCTCTATTTTATTTTGTTCTTTAATTCATATTTTGAGTTCCTTAAAGGAAATCACGTGAGATTTAAATTCATGTGTGTGATTTACTTCACTCCACATTACGGTCTCGAGGTGACTTTTTCTGCTAGCAAATTCCTTTGGTTCCAGCATCTTGTTGGAAGTAGGGTGGAGAATAGGGAATCTATTTTAATATATACAGTATAAAGAACATAGAATTTTAAAATACATAAATATGGATCCTAATCCTGATGATGTCACTTGGTAACTCTGTAACATTGTGAAACTTAATTACTCTTGAATCCAGGGATTCTTACATTTAAAAATAGGCATTTAAAATCATACCTCTATATAGAAAAAGTTAGTACCATTCTTGAAATTTATTTGAAATTCAAAATTTTGAAAAGCAAAATTATAAAAAAGTACATAAAAATATTATCCTTGAAGTAAAAGTTTTAAATACCAGACTAACCTGCAAGACTGATGAGGTTAACTTGTATTTTAGAAAGTGACTCATTTCACAGGTCCACATTTTGTGTATCATGAGTCAGATTGGCAGGCAGGCTTGCCCGTGTAGACTAGGATCAGAGCTCAGAGCTGCCTATGGGAAGAATTTGTGGGATGGGTCCCTAAGGCAAAGCAACTGCCAGGGACTCTGGTAGGCATTTTGCACAGAATCCACAAAACATTAGGGTAGAGTCCTTGGCCTCTTGTAAAACACATCATCTTACATACCACAAGGAAAAATTAAAAAGAAAGATTGCCAATTAAATTACTATGTGCTTTTTTATCTCTCAAAATTTTAATTGTATATCTATTAAAACAGCCTATTTAGATTTATTGGGAATTATATATCATTATTGCACCTATATAAAAGGGAAGACATAAACAAAATAAACAGGTGAAAGCATGTGAAAAGCTTTTTCATACTTCCAGTTCAATTCTACTAAATCACCCTCATCTTCACACCAAAAAGCTCTAGAGTTAGAGCTAAGTTAGAAAAATGAAAGAAGAAAAAGATTAGGAAGAATTAAAGTAGTTTTCTAATCCTGAACAATGTTTTGTGCATATATAACAAACATTAATGAATTTACATAAAATGAAACAACAAGCATTTTTATTACATTTCAAAAGATTAATTTTTGTTTTTTTTCTATCTTGGGAAAAGGAAAAATACTCTCATAAATGGGATATAATAATAATCCCTTTTATATAGTAGTAATCTCTGACATGTGAATAATATTTAGCCCATACTAATTTCTGTAATATTCCCATTTTAACTTTGACATGTTGAATTATGACAGATTTATTTATGTGTTAATCATAAGGGGATAGAATTGACCCACTAGCAAGGAGAACAACATACTCATTGATATTTGAGTTCAAACTTACTTTTTGTTCTGCCTACCACTTCTCTTGATTCTTCCATCCATTCCTATATATTTATGGAACTTGCTATTTTTCCAGGAAATCATGATTCCTTGTTATTCCTTATACCAATGAAGATAAGCTATTGTAAACTCTTCCTTTGTAACTAATAAAGCTACTCTTACTACCTCCGTTCTAATTATCTTGGCTTTTTGGACTCTGTTTCAATACAGTGGATTGAAAAAAATTGATTTTCTATGATCTTTTCTCTCTAAACTCTCTTGTAGAAAGATAATTTGTGCCTCTAGAACTCTACTAGGTTTAAATCAGGAATTGGTATGTAGGCTAATATATGGACGTGTTTTGTACTAATTCATAGGTCTATAGCAGTCAATTGCCAATCACTATAGTTCTAACCTCCAAATCCATCCATTTTTAAAATAATTACTGATCAGATTTGATAGATTTTACCATGTATATTCCTGTGGCTTTTGTCTCCACTGCTTTGTAATTCTCTTGAGGTCCTTTGGCTTCACACTAGCCAAAAGAATTTCTTACTTTTTATTTCTATTAGATGTCTAAATATGCTTTGTATTCCTATGCTCAAGCAGGGTATTCCTAGAGAAATACACAATAAGTTTTGGATGAATGAATAAAGATGGGCCCCACCTGAAGGTTGGTATACTTCAGTAGTGTAATGTACCCCACTGAGGTACAAAAAAGCTGGCAACCAAAACTACTTCATCAATCTTGCTCTGTTTTATAAAAATTAGTTTGGTTTTCTGCTTCCTGTGTCTCCATTTCTTGGTTTTCTTTTGCATCTTCTTTCCATCACACAACACACCAAGACTTCTCACTGGTCCTTAATTAACTTATTCAGCAAACACTTTCTGAGCCACTTCTAAGGAAAGCTCTCCCTGCCTCCACTGCCCATGTTGCAAACCCACCCCCTCTCTCCCACATCTGCCTGGCCTTGTGAACACATCCGTCCTTTCTGGCTAGTTGGAGCTGGTCTCCACGGAAGGGGTGGTTTCTCTGTGAACTGGGCTAGCACAAGGTAGATCATGATATTTAAAAATGTGAGTGTAAAGCTAAATCTAGGGCAGATGTACAAACAGCCCTGTGTCATAACAGGTTGCTATACTGCATGCAGCTATCTCCAGTGTTTTCAGTTTTGTTCTTCTTCAAGTCCTAAGATTCCTAAGATGTTGACAAAATGCCCTGTACATTCTAGGACTTTGTTAATACAGTGTTTTTTTAAACTAAATTACATAACTGCAGGGGACATAGCATTTTAGGGTTTAAACTATAAAAATATGCATTTAAAGGCATTTTTATGACCTTATCTGAAATTCATGGTTTTTCATAATTCACAGGTGCTCCAGGAATATAACATGAATTTCCGGAGCCTGCTACTTTTGAAATATGTAAAATAATGCCAAACCATTTCCCAAGCTACGGTTCCAAACTTATCCTCCCCGACAAGAAAGAAACCAACACATAGAAGTTTTCATTGTTTCATTTGCAACATTCATTACAGCCTGAGTTTTTAACTTGTCCCAATCTTTTGCACTGAAAAAAGTATGTGATAGAAACTTGTACTTGTACTTCCTTGATGTCTAAGGAAGTTCAAACTTCTCTTCACATAGGTACCTACCTCTGAGTGTCTTCTATAAAATGGCCCTGTTGTGCTTTTCTGTTTGTTTCATTTTTGGTTGAGTACTTTATCTCTTTCTTACTGATTTTCAGGATTTTTAAAAATATATTCTGAACATCAAACTTGTTTTCTAAATATGTTATATAAACAATGAATTTCTGGTTGACTTTTCATGTTTTTGTCTTCAAATCAAATAGTTCTTAATTTCAGTGTATTCAACTCATATTTTTGTTGTGGTTTGCACTTCCTAAGAAATCACTCTAGGAAGGACACCCTTCCTGTCTAGTAGTAAAGGAAAGCAGCTCCTCCAAGGAACAAATCGCATAACAATTAGGAGCTCTATTGACTGAGTTTCATTTAATGACTCCACTTAGTCTATACAAAATTGGACATTTAAAATTAATATATTTCTTCTTGGTTTTGTAGATTTCAAAGAGTAATCACAAGTTCCTCCTTTCCCTCTAGAGTCTCTTCTTTCCAATGTGATAGTGCTGTCCTAATGTCATGAGGTGGTGTCTACCTTTCCACTCCTCAATGGTGGGGAGGACTGTGTGACATCCTGTGAGCAAAGGAACTTCTGCAGACATTCCCCAGCAGAGACTCTCCATTTGCTCTTGCATTTCAAGCTTGCACTCTTGCAGCTTTATGGAACACTGAGAAATCTCTGAAAAGAAACCTGGACTTGTCTATGAGAAGATGAGAAATTATGTGAATCAAAAATGAGATATCCGAGCAGGGGTTTCTAACTCATGCAGCCCCAGTAAGGTCACTGGCCAAAAAAGAACTGCTCAGCTAGTACAAAGAATCAGGAAGTGTAAGGAATGTTTGCTGTTTTAAGCAGTTGGTTTTCTATGCAGCACAAGCTAACGGTAAAGCATTACACTAGACTCTGCTATTTCCATCAATTAATTTCTTTATGAATCAGAGACTGCAGGTGCCTAGATTTAATTTTCCTCTGCCTTTATATTGGACAATTTCCACCTTTATCTGAATAATTAGCTGACTATGGGCTATATTTTTCCAGCCAACTTGCAGCTCTGTATCTAACTCTATGTGGGGAAACAGCATGTGAATGTATTGATGAGAGAATGTATTGATCTTGACTTCAAGATCATCACCTTAAATGCAATACTGCTTCTGTTAAACTCTGTCTTTCCCTTGTCTCTCTTTTCTTGGATTGGAATGTGAGCAGGACATAACTTGCCTTTAACTTTACAGGAAAATGAAACACTCCAGGGGTTGTTGTTCACTCATTTTACTTATCTAACTTTGGACACTTATGTGGAATGAAACTTCTACCATATTGATAGCCTCTGTATTGGGCTTTATTACAGCAATTTCACCTGAAACTTACTAAGAATCAGTTGTGCATATCTACAAACATATCCATGTCAAATGTATTTATTATTGTAATTACTTGAGTTTTAAAAAATATCATTTCACCCAAAGAAATATAAGCACAAAACAAAACCGAGTTTTTGTTTCTATGAAAACTAATGTTAGCACTTTGGAACAATTATGTAGAGGCAAGTCACTAAGAAGAGTTAGAGTGTAAGTAAGACAGCTGAATATGGGTTCCAGATCATTAACTTAGGAAGGATTCATCCCTCAGAATAACAAGCATCTATAATTCTCCACTTTCTTAAAATATTGAATACTATAACATTATACACTGGACTTATAAAAGAGTGATGACCCTTAACTTCAACCTAGTCACTTGTTTACAGAAAATATTTTGATCAAAGTTTAACAAATAAAAGCAAATTCTAAGCTTTAGGATAGAGTTTTTAGACCACTCACCTAACTTCAAGCATGAGTTAGTCATGTTTATGTAAAGTGGTACCTAGGTTAGTACAAAAATAGAAATGGTGGAGGTGATATCACACCAAAGACAGCATGTTCCTTCCAATAAGGGAGTGAATACCTGACCCTAGCAAATTATTGACTTGTAGAATGCAGCAAAATCTTTTTATTCTAGTTAAATATTGCAATGTGGGAGTGTTACATGTGAAATATGTTGATTTTACATGTCACCAATGGTAGCAGAAACTGCTAACCATCTATCAAAGGATAATCTCTTCTTGAGCATACAGCTGTATCATACTTCCCAAGCTCCTCTGCTTTTAGCTGGAGTCACATGACTGTGTTCCAGCCAATGACAACTGTGCAGAAATGATTCATGTGTTCTATTTCCAGGTTTGGAACACAACCTCATATGCTCTTTTCCTCTTCCATTGGCTGCAATGTGGACAGCAGAAGCATCTATATGAGACACAAATCAAAGATGCTAGCATAGCCTTTACCCTGGGTCCCTGAGAGAACATATGAATAGTGTCATCACTCTATCTTCCAACCTAGAACCCAGGAACACCTAGTCTAACCTGAGTGAAAAATAAATTTAACTGTGGTCAAATCTTTACATTTCCATTCGTTAGTGTGCTTAGTTAGTGTGCTTAGTTAGTGTGCCCTAGTCAGTACAGTTACCAATATCAATTTAAGATACCTGGGACAGAATGCAGTCCTCTGAGCCCCCATTCCAGAACCTTTTTTTCAGGATCTTTTCATTTTCATGTTTGTGTTCAGAAAATGCAGGGTTTTCTTGCTGTTTTTCTTCATTCTGATTTTCTCCCCCTGCAGTCCTCTCCTAGAAAATAATAAATCAGTAGTTATTCTTTCTCCTTTTCTTCATTTCATTCTTCTCCACTTTTTTTCTTTTTCTTTTTATTTATCTGTATTTTTAACTTTCCCTGTAGCTTTTCTTTCTCATACAGTTGTAAAAATGTGTGTGTTTCTAAAATCATTATTATACCCACATTCTTACAAATTTGATTTTCTTGGCTGCAGTGGTTTTTTTCTCTGTTTGAATTTTCCTGACTGATGCTCATATTTTAGATTCATGGCCCTTAACTCCAATAAATATTTTTTAAAATGATCGACAGAGAACCTTTTCTTATCATGACATGAATTTGGAGTACAGCAATATAGAGAGGAATATAAGTACCAGTTCTCTCATGCTGACAATTATACTATGGCTTACCTAGCATCTCTTTCCTTCTCTCCTCTTTTATGTGGTTTCTGTGACAAATGATCAAAATGAAATGATAATTTTTCAAACATATTTTTAATGCAACTTTTATTAAAAGGTGTCATTCTGTCTAAATTAGCAGTTGCACTTACTGTAGGTATGGCACCATTCTAAATGCTTTACATAAAACTTACAATGATATATGAAACTCACAACTAATCTGTGGGGTTTGTGCCACTACTGTTTTATTTTGCAGATGAATAAACTTAAATGCATAGTTTTTGGGTAAATTTGGAAGGTCAGACAATTAATATGATGAAGAGCTGAGGCTTAAACCCTAGCAGTCTGGCTCCAATCTGACTCCAGAGCTCTCTCTCATAGTCACAATGTCACAGGTGACAATTTTGAAGAATAGGAGAAGAGTTGTCTTAGTCATTTTCTTGTCACTGGTACAAAATATCCAACACCCACAACTTAAAGGAGAGATTTATTTTGGTTAACATTTTGGTCCATGGTCAGGCAGCTCCAAAGAAGAAATAACAAGGCAGAAATGCTGCTCACATCAAGAACACCAGGAAGCAGAAGAAAAGGGAAGAGCTAGGGAGGAAGATGTAGACTTCCAGCTCAGGCCCTGGAGACCCACTTCCCTCACCAGGCTAACTTCCCAAAAGCACAGCACCCCATGGTCCAGTCCTCTCCCTAATGCCCTGCCTGGAGCACAGGATGCTCTTAGCAGACACCTAGACACAAAGCACAGTGCTCTTTTCCTAAGTCCTGGGAGTCGCTTGTTGAGAACCTGAAGTTTTATGAACCAAAGTGTAAGACTTTTACAATTAAATTGAACATTTTCTCTGTGTGTACAATGGCTTTTTTATTTTATTCACACACATATTACAAAAACTACTGAACACACCTAATTAGAATCTTTCACCAAGCCCAGTTTCCTAAGATGTCTTCATTTTTCTCAGATCTTTCCTACAAAACAAATATTGAAGTTTAACAACATTTTGGTGCTGCAGCTACAGTATTTCTATATTCTGGAATGTTTAAAAATGTAAATAAAATCCAGGCATGATGGTGCATGCTTATAATCCCAACACTATGGAGGGAGGCTGAGGTAGAAGGATCATTGTGAGTTCAGGACCAGCCTGAGCTACAAAGTGAGCTCAGGGCCAGACTCAACTGCATAAAAAGACACACACAAAAAAAATATCCAAACACTTCATATGTTCTCCATTTTCACCTAGAATTTTAAGATAGTGCTGGTAACAAAATTTTATATATATATATAATTTTTAATATTATATTTTAATAAATTATAATTATATATATAATATTATATATATATATGATAGCTGGCTTTCTTTTAGTGTAGAATGCCAAAAGAAGATTACACAATGGAACACAAGATCTCAAAATAAGATTTCTCATCATGTATTATATCCTTAGCATCTCAGAGAAATGTAAATAACTTGGTCCCTCAGGAAATAGTTTAGAGTATTAGTCATTTTTTGTTTGGAAATTCCACATAAAGTAGTATGCTACTTTTAATTTAGATTATGATAATTATATCACCTCATTCTCCAAAGATACAACAATGGCAGAAAAGACAGTAAAATAACCCCATGAGGTTGTTAAACCAAGGAAGCTCATAAAAAATAATTTCAAGTGAAACTTCAGCTAGACATGAATCAACAAATGGGACTAAATCCAATTAAAAGACTTCTGCATAGCAAAAGAAGCAATCAACAAAGTGAAGAGAAAACTTATAGAATTGGTGAAAATCTTTGCCAGTTCTTCCTCTGGCAGAAGATTAATGTCTATAATATATAAAGAACTTAAAAAACTTAACATCACAAAAACAAATACTTAATCAGTGAATGAGCAAGTGAAAGTAACAGATACTTCTTAAAGGAAGTATAAATGGCCAATAAATACATGAGAAAATGTTCAACATCTTTAGTAATGGGGGAAATGCAAATCAAAACTGCATTAAGAGTCCATCTCACCCCAGTCAGAATGGCTGTCATCAAGAATACAACAAACAATGAGTGCTGACAAGGATGTAGGGAAACGGAATCCTTCTATACTACTGGTGGAAATGTAAATTAGACCAGCCTTTATGGAAATAAGTATGGAAGTTCCTCATAAAACTAAAAATAGAACTACCATCTGATCTAGCTATACCACTCATTGGTATACACCTGAAAGAAAGTCCTCATACTGTAGGGATACATACTATGTTTACTGAGGTACACCTCACAGTAGTCAAGACCCGGAACCAGTCTAGGTGCCAGTGACAAATGAATGGATAAAGAAAAAGTGGTATATATATGCAGTGAAGTATTATCATACATAAAGGAGAACAAAATTATGTCATTTTCAGACAAATGGATAGAACTGGAAGGAGATCATCATGTTTAGTAAAATAAGCCAGACTCTGAAAGGTAAAAATCACATGTTTCTTTAATGTATGGACTTCAAAATAAAAGATGACATGAAAGTATAAGGGAGACTACTATTAGACAAAAAAGGGGGATAATATTAGGCCCATTATTCTAATGGTGAGAGAAGGGCAACAAAGGGGGTGGATATGATCAAAATATGTTGTATGCGTCTATGAAAATGCTACACTGAAACCCAATCTTTTGCAACATTAATATGTACTAATAAAAATATATTTTTAAGAATATGGTTAGAATATTTTCCCTAAAACTCTAAAATGATAGCAAATGAAGTAAAGAAATAACTCCATCAGGTCACAGAAGAAATCAGATCAGAAATATTCTCTCAGATAAAAAATGAAGTTACAACAATAATGAAAGAATTTCTCTGCACATCTAAAGAAGATATATGTAAAAAATAGAAGACCACAGAAAAATGATGGAAACATTGAAGGAACAATATAGGAAAGAACTAGAATGCATGAAACAGATTCCAAGCATGTTATGGTTTGTGTCTGGGTGTCCCCCCAAAGCCTCATGCAGCCATGGGGTAGGCTTTTAGAGTTTGATTGATTATGGGTGTGAGAGCTACAACCACCTGGGGGTGGATAGTTTGCATATATAAGGGAGAGGAAGAGGCTGCTTGCCGCCATTCCTCCCTTTTGTGCTTGTTGCTTTTGCTGTATTCTGCCGCCATGAGCTGTAGCCCTCTGCCATGTGCCACTCTGCCTTGTAACCTGCCAAGTATGGACTGAAAACTCCACAAACTGTAAGCAAAATAAACCTTTCCTTCCTTAATTTTGGGCATCAAGTACTTTGTCCCAGCAACAAGAGAAAAGTAACCAAGACAAAGCGATATCCAGGAAATCAAAACTATCATCTAAAGCTGGCAAAACCACCTGAATATAGCTAAAGATAGATTTTCAGACTTTGAAGACAGCACTGCAACTAACAATCATGAAAGGAACGATCTCTAAAAGTAACAAGGAACCAGGAAATATCAACTCAACAGCTACAAGAGCATGCTAAGAAAAACAACAAAAGACTAATAGGTGTCAACAAGGCAACAGTAAGCAACACAAATAACTTAAAAGGAATATTTGCAGGCATAGTAGCAGAAAATTTCACAAGCATGGAAAAAGAATCTAAGTAAGTGAGGTATATAGAACTCCAAGTAGCCATAACCAAAATAAAATTACACTCAGACATATAATACTCAAGATCCCAGATATCCAGCAAAAGAACAGAATATTAAAAGCTGTTAGAGAAAAGAAACAGATTACCTATAAAGGAAAGCCCATCAGAATCATGGCAGATTTCTCAGTACAAACTATCAAGTCAAGAAGAGCTTGGAGTGAAGTATTCCAGGTCATAAAACAAAACAACTTCCAACCCAGATTGATATATCCTGCAAAACTATCCTTCAAAATTAATAGAGAAATAAAATACTTTCACAACAAAGAACAACTGAAGAACTTCATGAGCACAAAACCAACCCTACAAAGAGTATTAAAAGGTATCCAAGAAAGAGATAAAAATGACCACAATTTCAAGAACAAGAATAGAAAGGAACCACCAAGAAGAGCATGCAATTAAACAGAGAGAAAAGGTAGCAAATTAACAGCAGGTAAATAACATGACAAAGATGAACATAGATGCAAAGATACTAAATAAAATACTAGCAAACCAAATTCTGCATATCATCAAGAAAATTATATACCATGACCAAGTAGGATTCATCTGAGGGATACAAGGATGTTTCAATATACACAAATCAATGAATGTAATACACAATATCAATAGAGCCAAAGGCAGAAATCACATGATAACTCAATAGACACAGAAAAAACTTTTGACAAACTCCAACAATCATTCATGATTAAAAAAAAAAAACCCTACAGAAAATTGGAATAGATTGTCTTCACCTCAATCTGATAAAAACCATCTATGACAAACCAACAGCCAACATCATACTAAATGGACAAAAACTGAAAGCTTTCACTTTAAAACCAGGAACAGGACAAGGATGTCCATTGTCTCCACTCCGCTTCAACAGAGTTCTGGAAGCATTAGCCAGAGCAATTAGATAAGAGAGAGACATAAAAGGAATAAGGATAGGAAAGGAAGAAGTGAAATTCTCATGTCTCATTCACAGATGACATGATACTCTGCGTG